AGTGGCAGGGATAGACCTGGAGTCCTCAAGGAAAGGGGACCACGGGCTCCTGTTTTTATCTTCATCATCCTTAAGTCCCTACTGTGTGCAGAGCTCTGAGGGAGGGTGGAGAGGATGTTAGAAGGCAACAAACTGCATAGGAAGCCAGGGCTCCGAGGGAGCTGGGCAAGGCCAATCCCGGGAGGCTTCCCGGAGAAGCTGACGCCTCCTCCCTCCACCTTCAGATGGCTACAAGGTAGTATTCGTGCGCCGGAGCCCACTGGTGCTGGTGGCAGTGGCGCGCACAAGGCAGTCGGCGCAGGAACTGGCGCAGGAGCTGCTCTACATCTACTACCAGATCCTGAGCCTTCTTACGGGCGCGCAGCTGAGCCACATCTTCCAGCAGAAGCAGAACTACGACCTGCGGCGCCTGCTCTCGGGCTCGGAGCGCATCACCGACAACCTGCTGCAGCTCATGGCGCGAGATCCCAGCTTCCTCATGGGGGCGGCGCGGTGCCTGCCCCTGGCGGCGGCGGTGCGCGACGCGGTGAGTGCCAGCCTGCAGCAGGCGCGTGCGCGCAGCCTTGTCTTCTCCATCCTGCTGGCGCGCAACCAGCTCGTGGCGCTAGTGCGCCGCAAGGACCAATTCCTGCACCCCATCGACCTGCACCTGCTTTTCAACCTCATAAGTTCCTCCTCGTCCTTCCGTGAGGGCGAGGCCTGGACGCCCGTGTGCCTGCCCAAATTTAATGCAGCCGGCTTCTTCCACGCACACATCTCTTACCTGGAGCCTGACACCGATCTCTGCCTGCTGCTCGTCTCCACCGACCGCGAGGACTTCTTTGCAGTCTCTGACTGCCGCCGCCGCTTTCAGGAGCGCCTGCGGAAGCGCGGAGCCCACCTGGCGCTGCGGGAGGCACTGCGCACACCCTACTACAGTGTTGCTCAAGTGGGCATCCCTGACCTACGCCACTTCCTCTATAAGTCAAAGAGCTCTGGACTCTTCACCAGGTGAGGGAGGGCCTTGGGGACACTGCTTGAGGGAGATAGGGGCGCAGTGGGATCTAGGGGAGGATTGGTCCTGAGTCCTGATGCAATCCTGAAGCTGAGAACCCCTCTGGGAATGACTGACATGTTGGGTCTGTTTCACTCTGACATCAGGGACCCAGTCTCCCTATCATTCTACTCCCAATGGGCATACACCTTTCCACGTTGTTACCCAGGAAGCCTTGAAATGCCCAATACACCCAGGGAAGGAAGCTGGAACAGAGGTCTCCTGGATCTCCTGCCCTGGAGCAAGTCTGCCTTAGGGATCATTTTGATCCAGTCCAGGATGCAGAACTCCTCTAACAGAGAGGGTGGGGCAGCTTCTATAGTCACATTACCCCTTTTTGAGTTCCCACTTACTTTCCCTCCACTTCAGACCTGTCACTCTGTCTTAGACACTGAAACTTAGATTGGCAGCTCTCCAAGGGAAGATAACCAAAGATGCCATGAACTCAGGGGAGGGAGTAGAACAGGGCTTCAGTCTGGAAGGGCCCAGCCCTGTCCTGGAGTCTTCTGTGGTAGGTAGACATTGCCTTGTCCTGGGAGATCATTTGGAGGGTAGGACTCATGGCAGAGTCTCCCTGGCTAGGCATAGTTATTTCTGGATCACCAGAGAAGGCAATGGAAGTCATTTATTTGCAAACCCACTCCCCTATCTCCAGCCCTGAGATTGAGGCCCCGTACACGAGTGAAGAGGAGCAGGAGCGGCTGCTGGGCCTCTACCAGTACCTGCACAGCCGAGCCCACAATGCCTCCCGCCCACTCAAGACCATCTACTACACAGGCCCCAATGAGAACCTCCTGGCCTGGGTAAGGTGGCCCTGGGACGGGCTGGGCTTCATCAGGATCCTGGGTAGGGGGCCTGAGGGATATTTAACCTCGATGACTACCCTGTGCCCCCTCCTCCAGGTAACAGGTGCCTTTGAGCTCTACATGTGCTACAGCCCCCTGGGGACCAAGGCATCGGCCGTCGGTGCCATCCATAAGCTGATGCGCTGGATCCGCAAAGAAGAAGACCGCCTCTTCATCCTCACGCCCCTCACTTATTGATGGGAAAGTGTGTGGGTTCAGCCCTCTTAGGCACACTGGGCGATGGAAGCAATGGGCACCTCTACATGGGCTGGCCTCTCTTGCTCAGGCGGCAGGCAGGGACTGTGGGTTGGTGTGCGCATTAAAGTGCTTTGGGGAAGACACTCATTGGGCCTTGTCACTGGTCCCTTTACTCACCCTTTCTCACTCACATACAGATACTGAATCCTTCTTAGTCCTTGCCCATGTTTCCTCATGCACAGGGGCACAGGCACATTCGAGTCCCTCTCCTCCTTAGCATCAGGACACAGGCACTCAGAGTCGAAACTTGGGCTGGGGCTCTTTTCATTCAGCTCAAGTCTTGCCACAGATAAAGTGTACTTTAGCACCCCACTGGCCTTGCCCCCACAGCCCCACCTCAACACTCAGCCTGAGCCCCTAGTGCCTCCCCTCTAATTCCTAGGAATCATACATCCTGGTAGCTGTGGCTTTGTTTAATGGGCTGCTATAGTTCAGCAGTAGCTGAGCTGAGTAAGATACGGTCAACTAAGGGAGAGTCTGAGCCTTGGTATAGGTAGGTGGGAGCCCTTGGTGAGGTGGTCTAGTGTTCAGCACAGACAAATTTAGAGTTCAGTCTCTAGAGTTTAAGCCACTGGGGAAATTGTCCCAGCTTGAAGGGCTATCCACCTCAGCATCTATACTTCCCCAGAGTGGCCCCAGGAGTGAGCTGGAGGGCCTGCAAGAAAACTCAGCTGACCTCTGGGACAGGGGAAAACCCTGCCTAGGAAGGGCAGATAACATAGGCACACTGGGCCCTCTTCAACCACCCTATACTCTGGCATGCCCCAGCCTATGGGAGTCACTATGGACATCCCTGGAGGCTCAGCAGTGAAGGCCCAGCCACATTCACTCTGTCCCAAGACCTTCTTTGGGCAGAGCCCAAGACAGAGTGCAGAAAGCTTCTACTTTGCTGCTGGGGGGGTAGGAGTGCTCTCCCAGTTCTGCCACAATTTAACCATATCATGGGCTAGGGGAGCAAAAGACTAGGAAATGCTTATGGGAGAAAAGTGTCCACTGAATATGGTCTTCAGACAGTAAGGTAAATCACCCTCTTGCAATCTCTAAAAGATGGGCTAAGATACTCTGCCTCTAAAACCAATTCATGTTCGGAAAAATATTTGTGTGGGTAACATGGACCAAGGGTACACTGGAATGGTTCAATTGCTATCCCAGGAAATGGCAGCATAGTCCCTGCCCTTGGCTGCATCCTGGATCACATTAGAATGGGTTTGGCCATGAGCCATCTTCCCAGACCCCAAAGTTCTTGGGAAACAGTCACAGGCTTGGTGGTGCTGCTCAGCATGCATATGTGCCCTGGGTCTCTTTTCTGCCTGTTCCTACTTCTGTTTCTCCCCTTGATCCTGGCCAGTGCACCAAATCGCTGCCCCTGGGACCAGGGTGACACCATGACTGCTATTGGCATGCTTCTGGTAAGTGGTCAACCCCTAAGTGCCCCTTTTGGCTGCTGTCATCCTTGTAGGGCTCTCAGCTTCTCTGTAGTTTAGCACCTATTCTGAGTGGGTGTGGAAAGGGGTGGTCACAATTAGATGAGTGCATGTACCTAGGGCAGGAAGCACCTGAAGTGTGGGGTTCTCAAACTCCAGGTAAAAGCCTGGCAGTAGGGAGCCATTGAATATTTTAAAGCTGCAGAATGATATGGTCATACTGTGGTTAGAGACATCCCCTGCTAATACTCAGATGATCTCTTTGGGTTGGAGATAAAGGCCAGCACTAGTTCTTTGAAGTAGTGTTTAGAAGGGTGTGAGAGCTCACAATGGGAAAAGAGGGCACTCCTTTGAGGTGACAGATGCCAGGGCAGTTGGGCAGATCTTAAGCCAAATATGGGCCAAGGCTTATGAGTTCAGCTTGGGAGAGCACTTATACTTAGCACTGCAAGGCTCCATTAGCAGACTTTCTCCAGATGGTTTACCTGCCCCCTCCTGCAGAGCGAACAGTTGGGGAAGGAGGAAGGAGCACTCCTGCGGATGCTTCTATCAAGGACCAGGGCTGCCCAGGAAGGGACACTGGCCTGGGGGCAGCCAACATCTTGGCCACACGATGGCAGCAAAGAATCAACTGTTGACTGCTATACCCCAACTCACAAAGGGTGGGATAGGGTGATCAAGGAAGGCCCTGAAGTCTCCTCCCAACCCACAGAAGTCTCTTGAAATGTCCTGAGGCAAGATGGGGGTCCAAGAAACTATGTCTCAATGCCAGCAAAGAATATTTCATTTCCGTTTTTCCCTGCATGACTCTCTCTCTCTCTCTCTCTTTTTAAGATTGTATTTATTCATGAGAGACGCACAGAGAGAAGCAGAGACATAGATAGAGGGAGAAGCAGGCTCCCCATGGAGAGCCCGATGCAGGACTTGATCCCAGGACCCTGGGATCACGATCTGAGCCGAATCAATCGCTCAATCACTGAGCCACCAAGTGCCCTGCATGACTATCTTTAGACAAGTTGACTGTGGAACACCGGAACTGTGCCATGATTTTTTTGTGGGTATTTATTCATTTCCGGGCCAATTCTGGTTAGAGAAGGGAGTGCCTTTTATGTTGCCTGAGGCTTGGAATCCTCCCAACACTGGGTGTGGCTCCCCACTCCTGTTTCCTCTCTCCACCAGGTACTCACTGAGCTCCAGCCTCGAGGGGAGAAGGGAGTCCAGCACTACGAATGGGGGAAAGAGGGAGTCAGGTATCCAGGGTCAACTGGCCAGGAGAGGGGTATAGCATAGGATCTGTGGAACCCACGAGATGGCTCTGGCATTTACAGGATCAGGAGGGCTTCCTGGAGGAAGTGCTATCTAAGCTTTAAGAGGAGGAAAGGAAAAATGGTGCTCCTGGAAGGGAGAACAAGGAGTATGGTCTTACAGGAGATACAGCTCTAAAAGTCAGGCTGAATGAATCCTGCTGGACTGAAAGCTCCTCTCTCCCCCACCCTTCTTACCTTCCAAAACCCTAGGACCCACAATTCACAGGTCTCTTGGACCCCAGCATAGGGCCACCTTATGAAGCTTCCCCTCCCTCCAGGGTCCAGGCCCACTTAGTTGAGGGGGCTGTCAGGCTGACGATGTCTCCCAGCACCTCTCTAGTATCAGGGAGAACTAGTTATCAAGGTGTAATAGGCAAGGTGTAAGAGGCAAGATGGACTCTCCTTCCTCCAATCCCATACACCTCACACACTGGAGAACTCTGGGCAGTCACCTAGTTAGAACTACATCCTCGTTTCAGAGACAGAGGGACCGATGCCCAGCATAGCTTATAGAGCAGGTTAGAGGGCCCGTGTCAAAGCCCATGTTTCTCCCATATGAGCAGCAAAGAAGGCCAGCACTGTGTTTTGTTATCCCCTATCCTGCAGCCTCTATCTACTGAGGCAGCAGTGGAAGTACCAGAGCTGAGGTCAGGCCTCCACATAACCTACCACTCTTGACTCTAATGTCCAGCCAGCAGGATAGGCCCCAACTCACAATCCCTACCTTGGGCAGGCAAGGTGCAACGTACCTTCCTCTGACACCATCCTGTCACTGACATCCCAGGGCAGGCCCATGGAAGGATGGCCCCTTCCCACAGAGCAGTACTCTTGGGGGGCCCCATGTCTCTCCTCTGGTCTTCCACACATTCTTGGCCTCTCAGGGGCCTCTAGGCCCTGTTTGGGAACCAGCGTCTGAGTGTGTTGCTAGATACTGATGACAAGGGATGAAATAAGCCAAGAGGTCTTCAAACCCTCACCGGTGCTGAGGTGGCCCCTGATCCCTCTTAATTTCAGCCTAATTGGTCATGGAGGGCAGGAAGGGACGGCTCAGGCTCCTTGCCTCTTTCCAGGCCACTCCACGCACATTCACCCACATGCCATTGAGAAAAACGCGCCCAAGAGGTGTAGGTGACAGGCCTGCCGGGGCCTGGAGAGTTGGGTGGTAGACAGGCCCCACCCACAGCTCCACCCCCACGCCGTGGCCCCGCCAGCCCCGCCCCGCGCCCTCAGCAGCCTTTGCTCTAAGCTCCGGCTTGGAGCTGCAGCTGGGGCAGCAGGTGAGGTGGCCTCCCTCTTCCCTGGCGGGGTGTGAGTGTTCACCTGGTGCCAGGTGCTCAGACTCGAGGGGGGAGGACGTTGGGCATCACGGTAGCCCCGGGCGGGGCTCAGCTGCCCGAGGGCTCTCAGAACCGGCGGCTCTGGATGAGGATCCCAGTCTAGACCTCGACTTTGCTCCCAGCCAGGCCCAAACGGGGCCCCAGCGGGGCCTCAGCGAGGCCTAGATGGAGCTTCTCCCGCCGCCATCCCAGCCTTCACTGTTGCTGTTGCTGCTGCTGTTGCTTCCGCCGTCGCTGCTGGCCAGAGGGTCCTGGCGGTGCCCACGCACCCCCTATGCCGCCTTGCGCAATTTTGACGTGGAGTACCAGGTGCCCAGCTTCTCTGCCGGAGGTCCGGTACAGGCCGTAACGACCTACGAGGGCGGCGAGGACGGGAGTGCAGTGTTCGTAGCTATACGCAATCGCCTGTTTGTGCTGGGGCCTGGCCTGCAGCCAGTAGAGAGCCTGGTCACGGGCCCTGTTGGGGACTCCGGCTGCCAGACATGTGCGGCCTGTGGCCCGGGCCCCCACAGCCCACAGGGAGACACAGATGCACGGGTGCTGGTGCTGGAGCCGGCGCTTCCCGCGCTGGTCAGCTGCGGCTCTAGCCTGCACGGCCGCTGCTTCCTGCACGAACTTGAGCCGGGAGGCGCTGCCTTGCGCCTGGCACCTCCGCTCTGCCTCTTCTCCGCCCACCACAACCGACCCGACGAGTGCCCTGACTGTGTGGCCAGCCCCCTGGGCACCCTGGTGACCGTGGTGGAGCAGGGTCATGCCTCCTACTTCTACACGGCATCCTCGCTGGACGCGACGGTGGCCGCGAGCTTCAGCCCCCGCTCGGTGTCCATCCGGCGCCTCAAGGCCGATGCCTCCGGATTCGCACCCGGCTTTGCAGCGCTGTCGGTGCTGCCCGAGTACCTCACTTCCTACTCCATCGAGTACGTGTACACTTTCCGCGCCGGAGCCTTCGTCTACTTCCTGACCGTGCAGCGGCCCAGCGTGACAGCTGCCCCAGGCGCCTTGCACACGCGCCTGGCACGGCTCAGCGCTGCCGAGCCCGAGCTGGGCGACTACCGGGAGCTGATCCTCGACTGCCGTTTGGAGCCCAAACGCCGGCGACGCGCAGCGCCCCAGGGGGGACAGTCCTACCCAGTGCTGAGAGCGGCCCACACAGCGCCCGTGGGCAGCCAGCTGGCCGCGGAGCTGAGCATCCCCCAGGGCCAGGAAGTGCTATTCGGAGTCTTCGCGACTAGGAGAGACAGCAGCCCCGGTGTGAATCCCAATTCTGTCGTCTGTGCCTTTCCCCTCGACCTCGTGGACACTCTCATTGAGCAGGGTGTGGAACGCTGTTGTGAGCCTCCTGTCTCCCCCGGCCTGCGGCGAGGCCTCGACTTCTTCCAGTTGCCTAGTTTTTGCCCCAACCCGGTGAGCAGAAAGAAGGGACCCTCACCTGTGAGCAGATGGCTGAATCCAGTGAGAGGGTCTGGGATGAGAGGAGGAGGGGAGAAGAAGGAACCTCCACGCAGTTCCTTAGTCCCCGGGGGCAGCGGGGTGGAGTAGCACAGGGGTGAGGGAATCAGCCAAGCACAGGCTACCTGGGAGGCTCACCTCCCAGCCAGGCTAGCCCCTGTTGCTTCTCCATTTTGTTCTTTCACCCTCTCAGGTACCACCACCTCTGTTTTTTTTAGGTAGTTTCCCAGATTGTGTGAGAACCAGATTGCATCACCACTGTCTCTGGCAGGCACACTGCCAAACTCCAGATAGAAGGGTGGGATCTCCTCCTGCCTGCCCACCACATAGCCTTGGGGACATACACAGAGAAATAGCCCCTCACACAGGCAGATGCTAACAGTTTCACACAGATGCAGCTGTTCACCAACACAGTTTCATTTTACCTTTGAATGCACTTGTTTTGCTCTGCTTTCTAAAGAGGGGGGTGCGGGAGTTGTCAAAGATTCCCCTACTCCCCGACCCTAATTCAGGGAGCCTCCTGGGCCTTGGAAGTTTGGGGGCTTGTCAGAGAGCCTGCATGGCTTGGGCTTCACTGATACCCTTCACTGTTCCTGATTGTTCTCTATGGGGTGACTGGGGGAGGACCTAGGACATGATGGGAAGGTGGCTTGGCTCTAATAAACTCCAGGAGGCTCACTCCAGTCTTGTGCAAGCAACTATAAACATCTGGGGATGAGTAAAGGCTTAGGAGGGGGTGGTTGGAATTGGTTCACCACAAAGGAGTCTCAGACTTCCTTCTACTATCTTTGAGGCCCTGCTCCAATTCCCCCTCTCACCCCAAGCAGGAGGTCTCCCAGCCCACGCTGAACTGGGGGCTCTTTCTAGCAGACCCTACCCAGGTTCTCTCCAGCCATGGTGTCAAGGAGCTGGAGCAGAGACAAATAGGACATTCTTTAAAATCCTGAGGACAAAACCAAAACTGACCCTTTAGAGCCTAACAGTCCTACCATAGTTTATAAGAGATTAAACCAAGGCCATGGGGTGAACAGCATTAGATGAGTGGTATTTCAGTGAGCTGACTCACAGTCTCTGCTCTCAGAGTCTGTGGTTGCCCTATGGCCCTGGCCCTTCTGGGATATTCTCCACTGACTTCTTTCTAGCTCTTATTGATGCCTCAGAGGTGGAAGAACTTATACACAGTGAGGAGTAGGGGATCTCCAGCCTCACTCCTTCAGCTGAGTCCCTCTGGGTTGAGGAGACCTTAGGGGTGGAAAGACCTCGTCTGTGTCTACCCTCCTCTCCCCCTGGAGAGTCAGAATCTCTCCCTGACTTGGCTAGTGGTCGGTAGGTCAGAAGACATCCTGTGTGAGTTGGCGGTGCCAGGTTTTGGGAGGACTAATCTCAAAATGACCCCCAAGCTGGCCAGGCCCCTGGGAGGTGTGTGAACCAGCCTGTGCGCGGTTTGATGACTGGGCACGGAGCCTCCAGGGCAACACCCACTGTGTGCTGATTGTGGCTGTCCTCAGGTAGCCTGTGGGGCTCTGATCTGGTACCTGCCTTCCGTGGGTCCAGGTAGAGTTTAAGTTTGGAGCAGTCACCCTCCTCTGTGGAGCACTGGACTCTAGAGTCAGGTTTTCAGGAGCAATAGGCTCATAGCAAGCCTGGAAACCCAGAGCTAAGGCCCTGGAATCCAGGGGCCAGCATACAGGGGTGTGGCCCCAACTGGGGTAGGGCCTCTTTTCCACCCCTCAGCCTCACCTGCCCCTGAGTCATGCTGAAAACACCTGGCTGGCTCCCGGCTAAGGCCAGGCCCGTTTTCCTGCCTCAAGTGAGGCCAAAGTCCCAGTTCCCACCCACACAGGCTACAGCCCCAGAGTGTGTGGAGCTTCTGGGCTCAGCTCTGCACCCTAGGGCTCCTGATCAGCACTGAGGTCCAAGCATTAGGTTAAGCATACTTGGTTTGATGGGAACCTCAGGACTAGCAAGGGAAGGTCCCAAGCAGCAAGAGCTACTGAGCCCTGCCTGTGCTTTGCACTCAGTTCCAATACTTTGCATTCTTATCCTGATCTGATTCCCCAGAAGCTTCCATAGTCCTGTCTTGGGGCTTTGAGTGCAGCCGCCAAACACCGTCCTGTTAAGATCAGGGGAGCGGTGTCTCCCCCTTAAATTCCCCTTAAATCCAGGGGGTCTAGCCTTCAGGACTTGGTTTTTCTCTTTTGTACCCTGAAGGGGATACAGGTAGCAGGTGGCGAGGGCGGGGGTGGGGATGTGGAGAAAAATCTTTGGAGTCTCAGGAAGAAGGACCTGTTACCAGTCCCATGCTGGCCAATTAACTTTGGAGTTTACCTTATGCTAGAAAGGAAACAGAAACCCCAAAGGGGCACAGGGTTTGCTGAAGTTCAGGGCATAACCGGCAGAGAGCAGAAGACTCTGGTCAAGAGCTCAGATTTCTTACCTGGCTCCTCTCCTGAGAGGCTATAAGGCCTTGGACAAGTGACAAAATGCTCTCTGAGCCCATTTCCTTAACTGCAAAACAGGGATGGTGAGAGCACCCACTTTACAGGGCAGTTGTGAGGACAGAATGGGGTTTGGTCTCTGAGAGTCTAAGTCATTATCAGAATGGACATGGCGGGTCAGAGCAAGGCATGGAAGTCAGTCTTCCAGCCTGGACCTTCTTTCTTGGCCTTATTGCCTCTGAGAGACCTGTAGGTGGAAGAGGGCAAGTGGCAGACCTGGGGCCTAGCTAAGCCAGGTAAGGGATGGGGGTTTGGGCTTCTGTGGTCACTGACGGAAGTCCCAGTGGCCAGTGTGTGGTGATGTGCCCTGACTCCTTCCCTGATCCTCCCCAGCCTGACCTGGAGGCCCCCAGCCTCAACACCAGCTGCCGTCACTTCCCTCTACTGGTCACTGGCAGCCTATCACGTGTGGACCTCTTCAATGGATTGTTAGGACCAGTGCAAGTCACTGCCCTGCACGTGACACGCCTCAACAATGTCACAGTGGCCCACATGGGCACAGCTGATGGGCGCATCCTGCAGGTAGGACTCCTGTCTCCATGTCTCCTTGTCCCTGGGTCCCCATCCCCATTTCCATTTTGCTCACACTAACCTGTCCCAGGTGGAGCTGGCCAGATCTCTCAACTACTTGCTGTTTGTGTCCAACTTCTCACTGGGCAACAATGGGCAGCCCACACAACGAGATGTTAGTCGCCTTGGAGACCACCTGTTCTTTGCTTCTGGGGATCAGGTAAGGTGGGACTGGGTGGGGCCAGGGCTGTGGGAGCCTAACCCCTCCATCCAATCCTGGGAAGCACTGATACACAGGTCTCACCACCCTGATCTACAATAACCAGGGTGTCTGTGAGGCCTAGTTCCCTCTCCAACCACCCCTGAACCACCTGTCTGCCACTGCAAGGTCTTCCAGGTACCTATCCAGGGCCCTGGCTGCCACCACTTCCTCACCTGTGGGAGTTGTCTGCGGGCACAGCGTTTCATGGGCTGTGGCTGGTGTGGGGGCATGTGTGGCCGGCAGAAAGAGTGTCCTGGCTCCTGGCAACAGGATCATTGCCCACCTAAGCTTACTGAGGTAAGGCTTGCTTGGCAGGACACAGGTAAGGGTGGGACAAGCTGGGCCTGGGGTGGGGTCAGCACATATTCTTCTTTTTTTTTTTTTAATACTATTTCTTTTTGTTTCTTTCTTTTTTTAAAGACATTTATTTGAGAGAGAAAATGAATGGGGGAGGGACAGAGGGAAAGAATCTTAAAGAGATTCCCCGCTAAGGGTGGAGCCCAACATGGGGTTCCATCTTACAACCTGAGATCCTGACCTGAGCTGAAATCAAAAGTCCGATGCTTAACCAACTGAACTACCCAGGTGCAGGGTCAGCATGTCTTGACCATGATCCTTAGGCCTGGAATGTTCTCAGTATCAACAAGAAAGGTATTCTTGGCAGAGAGGATGGGACATGGAAAGACTCGGTGGCAGAAAAGTGCCCGAGCGAGGACTAGCCAGTGATCTAGGAGACTGGAGGGAGGGCAGGCAAGGGGCACAGCAGAAAACTCTGGGAAAAGCAGATAGCTGAGAGCTCTGACACACACAGGGACTCAGGTTCTCTTTCCCTCTTCAGTTCTACCCTCAGAGTGGACCCCTAAGGGGCAGCACAAGGTTGACCCTGTGTGGCTCCAACTTCCACCTGCGTCCTGCTGATCTGGTGCATGAGGGCACGCATCATGTCACCGTGGGCCGAAGTCCCTGCCGACTGCTGCCCAAGGACAGTTCAAACCTCAGGTATAACCTAGTCTCTGCCCTTCCTATCCTTGACAAGGATGACCAAACAGCCCTTGCCCTGTGAGACCCTGTCTTCTGCTTACGGGGGACAAGGAGATATGAGGTGAGCTGAAGTGGCTCTGGCTGCTTGATGTTTGAGGAGACATCTCTGTCCCTTCCTTTTTTTTTTTAAGATTTTATTTATTTATTTATTTATTTATTTATTTGAGAGAGAGAGAGAGAGAGGCAGAGGGAGAAGCAGGTTCCATGCAGGGAGCCTGATGTGGGACTCAATCTCAGGTCTCCAGGATCACATCCTGGGCTGAAGGCGGCGCTAAACAGCTGAGCCACCCAGGCAGCCCTCTCTGTCCCTTCCTGAGCCTGCATATGCCTTACCTATCTGTTGAGTCATGAAACTGGGCAAGGCTAGTAGGCCCTGCCTCACCAGATCCTGCCTACCCTGGAGGAAGGGATGAGTGAAGAGATGCCATTTTAGGCTCAGAGGAGACCTGTGATATGTGGTGGGCAGGTAGCCAAGCCTGTGTGACCCCTGGCTGACCTTGGCTTCCCCTGGTATTCTAGCCCAGTGCCCCAGAAAGACTTTGTAGAGGAACTTGAGTGTGAGCTACAGCCCTCGGGAAGGCAGCCAGCAGGGCCCGCCAATGTCAGCCTCACTGTGACCAACGTGCCTCCAGGCAAGCACTTCCGGGTAGATGGCACCTCCATGCTGCAAGGCTTCTCTTTCATGGTGAGGCTACCTTGCCTTGTCTGTGCCCTTGGTCAACTAGGCAATATGGGCGGGGAAGGACTTAGAGTGGAAGGCCTCTTATGCCAACCTAAGCCACCTCCATACCCTCTTAGGAGCCGGTGCTGACAGCAGTAAAACCCCACTTTGGCCCACGGGCAGGGGGTACCCGCCTCACCCTTGAAGGCAAGGGCCTGTCCTTAGGCACCAGTCAGACTGTGCTGGTCAATGGGACTGAGTGCCCACTGAAACAGTAAGTGACAACAGGCAAGGGGATGGGAGACTACAGGGCCCTCTCCAGGTGGGAGTTGGATCCTGCCAGGGCAGAGAGAGGAGAGCTGGCACACGGTCAGTATAGGGAGTGGGTCCAGGAAGAAGGATCTGTTGCCCGCCCTGGTGGGCAGCCCAGAGCTGGTTTAGGGATGGTGAGAGAGCCCATCACAGAGTTTATTAGCTCCAACCAAGGCCCTGGGGAACCTATTCCTGCCCTGCCTTCTTGGAAGACTTAATGGTTCTATCTTCAAACAGACCCATTGAGTATGGGCAGATTGGGGAGATAACCAACAGAGGAACTGGGAGGGATTGGCAGACCCTTGGAAAAGATAGATCTGGCCATCACACGGAGGGTGATCCTGAGCCCAATCCCCCTCTCCACCTCCCACTCTGGTCTGCAGGGTCAGTGAGCGGCAGCTTTTATGTACCACGCCCCCTGGGGCAGCTACGGCCATCGTTCCCATCCACCTGCAGGTAGGGGGTGCTGTGGTGCCTGGCTCCTGGAACTTTCACTACCGGGAAGACCCCATTGTGCTGGGCATCAGCCCCAACTGTGGCTATATGTAAGTGCCACCCCCTTGTCCATTCTGGTCTCCTAGGAATGAGGGAACCAGCTTGAGAGAGCACCCTAAGCCCACCACACTGCTCTCCTCCACAGTGGCTCCCATGTCACCATCCATGGCCAGCATCTGACTTCAGCATGGCACCTAGTGCTGTCATTCCATGATGGACTTAGGGTAGTGGAAAACAGGGTGAGCTGGCACTGGCAGCTGCCAAGTGGGCATTAGCGGGGTGGGGGGAAAGACTGGATCAGTCCCCTGAGTTCCAGTTCTACCCCATGCAGGGCTGAGGTGGGGGGGTGAGGAGGTGGCTGTAGGTGGAATGCCTGGCTAACCAATCTTACATGGGCCCTGGCAGTGTAAGGGGCTGTCCCCGGAGCAGTACCAGTGCCGCCTGCCTGATTACGTGGTCCGAAGCCCCCAGAGGTGGGTGATAGGGAACCTGAGTGCCTGGGGGGATGGAGCTGCTGGCTTCACACTGCCTGGTTTTCGCTTCCTGCCCCCACCCCATCCATCCAGCACTGACCTAGCCCCGCTGAAGCCTGAGGAGCATGCCATTAAGTTTGAGGTAAGTATGGGGGATGGAGGGTAGGGACAGTGGAGGGTTAGGGCTGAAGCCTTGCCCAGAGGAGATGTGGGCACTGGCCAGTCCTTATGACTGTCTCTGCAGTATATTGGGCTGGGTGCTGTGGCTGATTGTATAGACATGAATGTGACCGTGGATGGTAAGGTCTGCCAGCATGAACTCCGGGGGGATGTGGTCATCTGCCCTCTGCCGCCCTCCCTGGAACTTGACAAGGAACCACTACCACTGCAGGTAGGCAGCTCAGCTGGCTCTCTATGGGAGACATGGGCCAGGGCTTACAGGCTGGGCCTGAGTTGCTACCTGCCCCCAGGTCTGCGTGGATGATAAATGTCACATCCTGGGGAGGGTGGTACGGCCAAGCCGAGAGCGGGTCCCACAGAGGCTACTCCTTGGTGTCCTGCTGGCCCTGCTCGTGCTTGTAGCTGTGCTGGCCACTGTGCTGATCTTCAACTACCGGCGGAGGAGACAGCTAGGTGAGCTCTCATCACCTATACCCCCAAACTCAGCCTATACCCCCAAACCATGACATCTCCAAGTCCCTATATCTTCCTTCTGCCCTGGCCTTGGAGGTCTGCCCACACCTCTAGGAGCATGGAGAGGCTGACCATCAAGGGCTGTCTTTCCACAGTCCTCTCTCTAAACTCAGATGACCTGGCATCCTTGGGCCAGACGACTGGAGCTGTGCCCTTGCCTGTGCTCTGCTCAGGCTCTGACTACAGAAGTGGCCAAGGTAAGGCGGGGGAAGTGCTGAAAGCTGGAGCTACACACTCTGCTCCACAGACCCCTCACTCCCTCTCTTCCACAGCCACCCCTGCCGCCGCCGATGGTCTGCATGGTCTGGATGGTCTGGATTCTACTACTTGGGGCCACAAAGTGTCCTCCTCAGACAGTGGGGATGGGTCCTGTGTCCCACTGCTGCGGACAGCGTCCATCCAGCTTGGGGACTTGGACTCTGCACTCCTGGCCGAGGTCAAGGATGTGCTGATCCCCCACGAGCAGGTGGTCACCCACAGTGACCGAGTCATTGGCAAAGGTGTGGGGGCCAAGGCAGGTGGAACTGGGGCACAGATGGAGTTCTGAGATGGCATGGGCTCAAGGGACATTTGGGCAGGATTCTGCTCTGGCCTTCTCACCAACCTTTGTGATCTTGGGAATACCACATAACCTCTCTGAGCCTCCATTTGCTCATCTGTGGAATAGGAATTCATCTGTCTTCAGTGGACTCTGCTACAGATTAAGTGGGCATGGGAGGGTGCAGGCTCTATCACCAGGTGGCTGATGTTTGTTTTTAATATCAGATTGGCCAGGTGATGCTCTGGGGTTTGCTTGCCAGTGAGAGGGTGTGGCGTGCACCCTGGGCATTGGGGGTCCCTTACCATTTCCCCTTCACCAGGCCACTTTGGAGTTGTCTATCATGGAGAATACATAGACGAGGACCAGAATCGAATCCACTGTGCTGTAAAGTCACTGAGTCGTAAGTGGGGAAGAGGCCAGGAAGTTCCCCGTCTGTGCTGTGCTACAGCCTTGCTGAGTAACCTCAAGCAGGAGACCTTGCTCCTTTATTTCCCCATCTGAGCCTTGCAGAGGGTCTCCCTGGTCTGAGCCTGACTCAACCCATTCTGCAGGCATTACAGAGGTGCAGGAGGCAGAGGCCTTCCTGCGCGAGGGGTTGCTCATGCGTGGTCTGCACCACCCAAACGTACTGGCTCTCATCGGTATCGTGCTGCCACCTGAAGGCCTGCCCCGTGTGCTGCTGCCCTATATGCGCCATGGAGACCTGCTTCGGTTCATCCGCTCACCCCAGCGGGTCGGTGCTCAGGTGGCTCTGGGGCAGGGTGGGGTGGGGGGACATCAGGAGACTTGGGCAACAGTTGGGGATGCATTGCTATGCCCTTGCTTACCAAGCTCCCTGTGGCCCCCAGAATCCCACAGTGAAGGACCTCATCAGCTTCGGCCTTCAGGTAGCCCGTGGCATGGAGTACTTGGCAGAGCAGAAGTTTGTGCACAGGGACCTGGCTGCTCGGAACTGCATGTGAGGGGCCAGAGCATTTGGGGAGAAGCAAGGGGGCAGGGCACCAGGGTGTGCTACTGAGTAAGGACACCTCAGGGCAGGGCCCACCCTCTGGCCCTTGTTGTGCCATCCTGGGCATGTCCTCACTTTTCTGGCCCTCAGATTCCCTGTCTGCCCAGATTGTGGCTCTGAAGCCCTATGACGTCCTGGAACTAATGGGTTCATGGCCTGGTGGGGGCCAGTCCTGAGTATGATTCCTTCCCCGCCCCCCCAGGCTGGACGAATCATTCACAGTTAAGGTGGCTGACTTTGGCCTGGCTCGTGATATCCTGGACAAGGAATACTACAGTGTTCGACAGCACCGCCACGCTCGCCTCCCTGTCAAATGGATGGCACTGGAGAGCCTGCAGACCTACAGATTCACCACCAAGTCTGACGTGGTGAGGCCCCACCTGCCCCAGAGGCCACATGGCCTCGGTGTCCCAGGAGAGCACTTGGCTTTGCCCATTCAGCTCTAGCTGATAATCTGAGTCCAGGGAATCCCCAAACTGAGTGGCGTCCACAGCCCATTTGCCTGCCTCTGGAGCAGGTCTGAAATGGACTCCTCTTGCCAGGGCAAGAGGTGGCTGTGAGCTCATTGGCTCCTTGCAGATGATACAAGGCCTGCCCCGGCACAACTCCACACAGGGTCCCAATGGTGAGAAGAGACTGAGGGAAAATGTGAGATATTGAGGAGGGGGCTCTGATAGATTTCCAGCTAGAGGACCTTGGGGAGCCCTCCTGCCCCCAAATTTGAGGTAAAAGTTGAATCTCCTCTTCTCTTCCCACAGTGGTCGTTTGGTGTGTTGCTATGGGAGCTGCTGACACGGGGTGCCCCACCATATCCCCACATTGACCCTTTTGACCTCATTCAATTCCTGGCCCAGGGTCGGCGCCTGCCCCAGCCTGAATATTGTCCCAATTCTTTGTGAGTAGTATGTGGAGGTGATGGTGGGAGGGAGCCTGGGCCCCAGAGACAAGGAAGGAGCAGGAGACAGAGCTCTTGCCTGGCCCTCTGACCGGTCCTCTAGTTGACCTGGAAAGGGACCCTCTCTGGGCCTCAGTTTCCTGGTCTATGGATTGGTTCCACCCCCATTTGGGGCTGAGTGCTGGGAGGATATCATGGTTGCCATGGTAACAGTACTCCCCACTCAGAGTCTGGGTTGAGGCCAGTGATTTGATTTCTCAGCACTCCTCTCACCCCACCCCCGCCAAGGGGGCCTGTTTTCCATCTTTTCCATTCACTTAACCTCAAGGAAAGGTTCCATTAGCTCCCACACTAGCCCCCACCACATCTTCAGATCAAAATTTTTCCCTACTGAATATAGTTTCAGATTCCCTGTTCCTAAGGCATGGTGGCAGCTATGTTCACCATGCCTGCCCAGTGGGCCTGTATGATGGTTCAGCTTCAGAAGCAGTACGTGTGCCTCAGCTGAGCCCAGGTCTTTGTGTTTAGAACAGGAAGTACCAGGTCACAGGTAAAGGTGGTTGATGACTTCTGTCTCAGGCTGTGCTCCAAAAGAGTATGAGTAACCTCCAGCCCTGCCTGCCTTGGGTTTAATCTTTATTATTCGTTTCACTAGTACATCTGCTTTGAAGTAAGGGAAATCATCTTTACTACCCATCTGCCCCTGGGTCAGGTTCCCTGACAGAGACTTGGAGCTGGGGATATATGTACAGGGGGTTTATTGGTAGATTGGGGGCCAGGGTAGCAGGAGTGGGCTAGGGGAGAAGCTGGGCTGCTGTGGAGAGGCAACAGAGGCTGTAGCCCATCCCATAGGGGCTACTTGATCTGGAATGGCTCCTCAGGGTTTGTTTGTTTGTTTTTTAAGATTTAGTTTATTTATTCATGAGAGACACAGAGAGACAGGCAGAGACATAGGCAGAGGGAGAAGCAGGCTCCCCATAGGGAGCCTGAGGCGGGGCTCAATCCCAGGACCCCGGATCATGACCTGAGACAAAGACAGATGCTCAACCACTGAGCCACCCAGGTGCCCCAGCTCTTCGGAATTTTACAAAATTTAGATCAAGGGGCCAGGTCCTTGTACTAGACATTAATAAGTCACTGGTCACAGTGAGAGCTTGGGGAAGGCAGCTATTTTTTGCCGAGACACTTCCTAAGAAGGCTTCAGGCAAGAGCTGGCAGCAGCCACTGGGGAATTAAGGGGGATCTGGGTAGACCACCACAGCATCCATTAGACCAGGCCAAATCTTTTCTCCTCTTGAGGCCTTAGTTTCCTCATCTGTAAAGTTGGGATGATGACAGTACCATCCTTAGAGAGTCTGACAATTGGGAGATAATTTTGTGTAGGGCACTTAGTATCATTTAAGGCTGGGATGGCATTTCCAAGATAAAGAGGCAGCCAAACCCAGAGAAACACTGCTTGGGAATCACACGGCCACTGGCACCACTTGCACCAAGTGTCTATGTCTGTGTCTAGGGACTTTTAATCCCCATTTCACCGGACACAGGCTTCCTTCCTAAAAGACAGAAGATATAACTGTGATAGCTCGGGAGGCGTGCCCTAAGCTAAGCGCTCCCCAGGCGTCCTTCCACTGTCTGCCCAACAGCTCTGTGATCAGGGGAGAATCCAGAGACACAGAGAACTTAAGGAACTTGCCCAAGGTCCATCATTCAGGTCACAGGGTACAGGAGCCCAAGCTCAACCTTTGGGACAATCAGACCTCTGCTAGGGTGGGGAGGCAGGACTGGGATAGCAGTCGCAATGCTTGGAAGAGCTGTCCCTGACTGGGCAACACTCTGCTCTAGGCCCTGTCATCTGTCCTTGTCCCTGCATGGCCTGCCACAGGATTAACAGCAGGTGGGCAGCCTAGAATCTCTGACTGGGGGGTGCTCCCAGCCTCCGACATTCTCCTCTTCTCACAGGTATATGGTGATGCAACGCTGCTGGGCTGTGGACCCCGCAGTGAGACCCACCTTCACGGCACTGGTGGAGGAAGTAGAGCACGTGGCGGCCAGGCTGCTTGGGGACCACTATGTGCAGCTGCCGGCAGCCTATGTAAACCTGGGCCCTGGTGCCTCGGAGGAGGCAAACAAGCCCCCAGAGCAGTCGCAGACCACACCTGTGCACAGGAACACGGGTCGACTCCGGCCTTTCTCAGAGCCATCACAGCCCACGTGACCTCAGCTGTGGGCAGGCCTCCAGGGATCGGACTGTCTAGCAGCCAGGGAGTTAATCCCAAACTGCTTCTGGGCCAGGCTAGGCCCCAGGGCAGCCCAGGCTGGCCTCTGTCCTCTCCCTCCCCCTGAACTTTCTGGGGCGACAGGAGGGAGCAGGGCCCCATGGCCCCTCACTCCACAGAGCGAACAGTGGGGTGATCCTCAATGTGATGAGTATTTATGAGGTGCCTGGTATGTGCCTGACCTGCTGGGCACAGGAGACTCAGCAGTGACCGGCACTGGCCCTTGAAATAGTAAATGAACACCCAAATATTCAAGTGCAAATCGTGGTCAATGCTATGAAAGAAAGGCTGCTATGAGGGAATGGAGGGCAGCTTTAGAGAGAGAATAAAGGTGAGGGAAGCCTCCCTAGGAGGTGACATTTCTGCTAAGTCCCCATCAGGTGGGAACTGTGCCAGAAGCAGAGGGGGGAAGAGAGTTTTGGGCAAAGTGAGCAGCACATACAAAGACTCTGAGGCTTTGTAGGGTCAGCACAAAGGCTTTAGAGAATAGGAGGGTTAGGGTGAGGCCCCGATCCAGGTTACAGGGTCCTGGGGACTTCTTGATGGAACCAAGAAGGATGGGTTGAGTACCCAGGCGTGCAGCAGCCAGAATGGCTTCTCCCATCACCCAGCCCGCATCTGGCCCTCTCTAGCCTGTTCCCAGGGATCCCTGCTCCACCTGCAGCTCCCTCTCGCACTGCAGGGCATGGAGACCAGCTCCCCCCTCAACCATGCCCTTACCAAATCCTGCCAGAATTCCCCTTGCTTCCTTGAGATTGATGAGCCAGCAGCAAGGCCTCAGCTCCACACTTTCAAGGCACCAGCTTCAAGACGTTGGACTGCCCAGGCTATTTATACCCGTCAAGGCCACTGCACAATAGCCACTAGATGGGCAGACTCCACTGGGGAGTGAGGACAGTTTCCTCCATATTGCTCCTCCCCACACCCTGGATCCTAAAGGGATCCACTGGGATGCCAGTGACTGGGTCTGGGGCCTTCATCCTGGTGGTTCCTCTCTCTTTTTCAGGACCCCTGTAGCTTCCATCCCTCCAGTCTGGGAGACCCCAGCTCACCCTAAGGGGAACAACCTCCCTCTCCTGTGAGTTCCCAGCTCCTTGCCCTGTTACACGTGGACTCCTGGGTTTGGAGCAAGAGCTCTCTGGTAAATAGTGGGGTTTCCTTGGGACTGGAGCTGCCCAGCTGTTTTCTACCTATACCTATACTGCTGCTTACTCTGTCCCCTCAGACCAAAGGAGGCCCTGCCATGGAGAGCCTAAGGACCCTAAGGACATTTGGGTAAACTTAAAAGGGGGATCTTCTGCTCAAGTGCAGGGTACTGAAGATCAGGGATCTATGATCTGGAGAGGTAGAGATGGACTCTGCCTATTTACTACTGTACCTCTGAGCCCCACTTAGGAATAGAGGCAGTTTTGTAGCCTTGCACACTCAGCTGGAGACCCCTGGTGTGTGTGTGTGTGTGTGTGTGTGTGTGTGTGTGTGTGTAGGGGGGAGTCAGTTGTGTCGCTGCTGAGGCTGGAAGAGAGATGGGTGGAATAGCCTAGAGTACCCCCTGAGCTGTAGTCCCTATACTAGTTAGAAAGGACTGTCTCCATCACTCCACCTTGTAGTCCTCCTGCCATGACCTCATCCTGAGGATCTGAAGGCTGCCCAGAGCTCCCCACCCTGGGTAGGGAGTGAGGAGAAGGTCCAGGAACCTCTCTGAAGCTGGACTGAGGCTCTTTCCCCACTGAGCTTCTGGAGTTCATGGACCATAGCTTATCTGCTCATAAGACAGGGGGGTCTGTACTTGAGAGGGGAGCTTAGCAGGAGAGGGTTCTCAGAGAAGGGAGATAGAGGACAGCTTAGAGGGTGTCAGCTTTTCTGTGTAGCCAGCATATCAGGCTTTGGACATGTTTCGGAGTCAAGGGCCTTCAAAGCCAGAGTTTTCCAGAGAGGGGCCCCAGTTAAGCAGGTGCTTGGGACTCTGGATCATAGCACAGCTGCACCTCCTCCTCCCAAAGCTGCAGCCCCCAAGCTCTGAGTTTCATCCTCAGAGCCATCTGAATAGTCACAAGTCCAGCTGGGATGTCAGGAACTGGATTTAAGACTTCAAATTGCTGACAGGGCCACGAGGGAGATGAGGAAGGGTAGGTTAGTTCTAGGCCCCCAGATGGGCTGGAGGAACTAGAAGGTTTCCTTCCAGTGAAGGCTGAGCTGCCTTTCCCTGGGGGAGGCCTGAGTAGTATCTCAGGCATGGTGGGTGGCCAGTGCAAGGAGAAGATTGCTGGTGGCCATGGTGGGCCTAGGCCTGCCACTAATTTCTGATGGGGTGAGCAGAGGCTTCTCCTGGGGCTTTGGGAGTCCAGTCTTCTACCATGAGCTATGGATGACAGCTACCAGCTCCCCTGCCTCATCTCCTTCTGTTGCAGTGCTGTGAGGCTGGGGGCAAGCAAGTACTAGTAAAGGTTGGAGGGAGGCCAGGATGGGAGCTGGGGTCAGGGAAGCTGCAGATGACTCACAGCCTCCTGACTGCCCATTGGTGTCACTGTTGTCTGGCACCTGGAGAGCACACATAGGTAGACCGACCTGCTTTGATGGGGGACCCTGAGTCTGGTCTGAGGTGCTCCTTATGTCTCAACTCCAGCCTTTCAGAGAATTTTCCCAAGTATCCCAAGGCCCTCTGGGGTCATACCCAAGGGATCTAGATATTGCCCCATTCCAAACTTTGAGAACTTCTGGGACACTGGCCTTACTAGTCACTTCCTCAGTGTAGCCCATGAGGCCACAGGTCCACGTATGGCGTTACATCACAAGTTAACTCCCTTTACCTGTATGAGAGAGCTGGACACTCAGTGCCAGAATGAGGCAGGGGACATGGGTGCTGCTGGGAGTGACTGAGGCTCAGAGAGGCCCAGGCTGCATCTCACACTTTTTGCCTCTGCCTGGGGAGAAGCAGCCCCAGGAATCAGTAGCTGAGCACTGAGCCCCAACCACCAGGCCCTAGTGAAGAACACCTTTTACTCCATGCTGGGCTGGAAAACCCCCCTCTGTGAAAACACCAGGTACTGAGCATCTCTTCCCTCAGAGCCTCTGCTCTGCCATCATGAGGGTCCAACTAGCCCAGAGGTGGAGCTACACCAGCCCAGAGGAGCAGGGATGACTCCAGGAAGGGCTCCAGCATTCTCCATCTGGTACAGAGGGGCTGGCTGAACCTTATTTTCTCCTTCCACTCTTCTGGGGTTTGTTCCAGCCAGGGTTTCTAACCCAATGAGTGTAGATGTCAGAAGAGCCTGGGCAGCTGTGACATTCACATTTGCCTGTGGTAGCTTCCTGAATGGGCTGGGTTCTTCACGTTTAAGGATGGCGACCTGGAGCCATGGCCTTCACACTTGGTCCTCCCCTGGTGGGAGTCCTTGGCCCAAAGATAAGCAGGAAATGCCCAGCAGTTGGCAGAGCTTGCCTAACTCATCTCAGTCCATAGGTGTGGCACCTGGATCCCAGCCACCTCACACTGATATCCTCAGATACCCTTAGAAATGACTGTTTCTCTTGAACCCCGTAACACATCAGTCCATCCCAGAGAGGAATTCCCAGCTCCAGGCCCTAGAAGGGAGGGTAGCTCTGCTCCTGAGCCTTCCCACAACCTCTGCATCTTGTTCTCTATTCCTTTGACATTCTGAGCATCTTCTGTCCCTGGTTCCAAGATACTCATGCTGAGCCTGGCAGGGATGGTCACACTGCCCAGATCATACTCCTCTTGTCGCTGAGAATCCCAGGACCATTCTGGGATTGTGCCCTACCATTGCTACTCATTCCCCTGCAATTTCTACTCCACCCATCGGGCAGCCTTGGCCTTGTCAGGGAAGCAGAGGCACTTGTGGCCCTGACAACCTGCCCTTGCTGGGGTGGGGGGGGCAGGGGGGGTGACAGGAAGTCCTGGTATTTGGCCCATACCTGTCCCCCTGCTGCTCAGTGGAAGCTCAGAGGTGAGGCCCATGATGGTTCCTATTTTGAAATCAGGTGGTAGGAGCTGAGGGAAGTTGCCTAATCCTTGGGGCTCAGGACGGGTAGATGCAGAGGGAACACCCATGGCCCCACTGCCAGGGGCATCCTTCCCTTCTCTATTCTGTTCCGTCTGACATTGGTTTAGTTGCCGCACGCTTGTGGTCAGTCTTGGACTGGGCACCCGGAATCTGGGAACATATCAGGAAAGGCAGGGGACTCAAAGCAACTGGCAGCCAAGATCACAGGATCATAGGATCTTCAATCGGCTTGGAAGCCAGTGCTCACTTTTTATGTCACTAGCCCCACCTGTGCAGCCTGGACCATAGAGACCAAGAGGGGCCCCAAAGGAGTTGGCTTCACTCCTGGACCCCATGGTCAGGACAGCTTCAACCAGGCATCAGTCCTGCTGGCATGTTCTTCCAAGCTGGGAAGCCACTTCCAAAGGGGGAAAAGAATCCTTTGGGCACCCCGGTCGCCCTTGCCCACAGGTTCTGACCCAGCCATCTGTTCTTAAAGTTGTCCCCACTCTCCCCTGGGCCTGGGTTCTTCAAGTCCCCTGCAGGAGGGCAGATCTCACCTCCCCTCTGCAAATGTGGTTGGAGGTCTCTTCTCAATAGTCATGAAATGGTGCATGTTTCTGACAGCATTTCCTCTGCCCCACCTGTGCTGGCTCCTGGCTGGGGGGCTGCTTCCAGGGATGGTGGGGAGCTTGCCTCAGCCCTGAAGCCGTCAGGGTGTCTCTGCCACTGCCCTCCCTCCGGGCTGATGCGGCTGGCCATCTTTCACGCAGAGTTACGTAAGCTTGAGTCAATTGGAGCTCAGAGCAGTTCATTGTGGGCTATTTTTAAGCTGTAACACATCACAGCAGAGGGGTCACTGCACCACGGCTTGCAGGGAAGGTTGTTTAAACATCTGTTATTTAAATTTCCTATTCCTTAGAGCTCAAAAGCCACATCCTCCTGGCACTGTTGGATCTGCATTCCACATTCCAGATTAGGAGTAGATTATCACCCCTCATCCCATCAGGGGCTCCCCTAGGGCTGGAGTTCTCTCTGCACCCTGGTTGTCTTCCTTCGGGGGCCAGGGAGGGAGACTAGAGAGGAAGGGGAGACAACTGCCTCTCAGAACGGGTGCACCCTGGCCAGAAAGGCGGCAGGGAAGCAGGAAGTTAGTGCTCACAGGTCACTTGGATTCTCCTCCTCCCCGGGGAGGAGGGTCAGGAGAAGGAAACACAGAGCACTGTGGAGCAGTCTGTGGAGCCTGGAGACCAAGAGCGCCTTGGTTTAATTTAATACCCATTAATAGGGATCCCTGGGTGGCGCAGCGGTTTAGCGCCTGCCTTTGGCCCAGGGCGCGATCCTGGAGACCCGGGATCGAATCCCATGTTGGGCTCCCGGTGCATGGAGCCTGCTTCTCCCTCTGCCTGTGTCTCTGCCTGTCTCTCTCTCTCTGTGACTATCATAAAAAAAAAAAAAACATTAATAATATTAATAAATACCCCAAGAAGGTTGGATCACAACATCCTTGTAGGTCTTTTCAGAAGCCCACATTTACCTGGGTTGTGCTACTAGCCGGAATGCCCTCCCTTCACAGAGCTAAATGCCACCCAGCTGCACCCTCTGGGGCAGGAGGGCTGGTGTATGAGCTCCTGGACAGTGGGCAGAAACCTCTGGGGAAACAGGCCTTGCTTTTCACTCCGTTACCGAGTGGTTGCCTGTACTGGGAGCCCTTTAAGACTCCTTCTGTTCCTAGAGTTTTGGAGATATCCAGAGTCTTCCTGGGCACAGGGAGGGGGAGACAGGTAGACCAGAAAAGTGCAGGGCCAAGAATTTGACAGAGCTGTTTCAAGAACACTAGGTGCCAAAGATACGGGTGCATTGGAAAATCAAGTCTGGGAGACTTGGCTAGTCCCAGAACCTTCCCTCTCCCTTTGATGCACTTCCTTCCCACCACACTCAAGGCATCCTAGGTGGGAGGGCCCCACCCTGATCCATAAGGAAGAACAGTTTCTCAGAGAGCCCCGACTCCATCTCCTGAAGCCTGACCCTCTCCACAGGGGCTGGGGCCTTTCCCCAAAGCCTGCTCAGAGGGGGCCCAAGTGAGCTGTGAGAGAAGGTGATATCCGGACTGCCCTCATAGAGAAGACTCCTATGGCCCTGCCCTCAGACCGGGCTTCTTCCAGTTCTTTCTTGGCCTTTCCATCCCAAAGAGCCCTCAGCCTGGGGAATGGGCTCAGCCTCGGGGAGGGGCTCTCCAGTTTGCCATGGCAACATGTTGGCCCTCCTCACTTTCCAGAATCAGAAATAGAATTGGATGCCCTTCTTCGTGGTGAGAGACTGTTTAAAAACATGTAGGGGGGAGGGGTACAGTGGCAATGTCCCTGCCCAAACCCTGGGGGCTGGGCAGAGGGGTCTAACCTAGGAGCTTCTCTGGCTGCCCTGCTGCCCCTGCCCTTACCTGGATGAAATATAGTCGGCTTTGGCCATCCAAGAATTCTGAGTACAAAGGACTCAGCCTGGTTCGGCAGGGTGTGTAGCTGGCCCCTATTCAGTGCTGCCAGGCTGAATAGGGAGTGCACTGGCTTAGAAGTGCCAACAGGGGAAATGCCCCTTCCAGGCTTGAGCACCTGCTAAGCTATTGGGAGGAGGAGAAGGTTCAAGTGGGACATAGCTCAGGTGGGTGCTTGGGGCTATAGCACTCAGAAGGTAGGCATGTTGGCTCCCTTCCAGGAGGGTCCATGCCTGCATGTGTGATATCCAGTGGTGGTACATAGATTTCTGAAGTGCGGGTCCAGAGCCTGGTGGCCTGGCTTCAGATTCTGGCTCTACTACTCATTTAACTGAGATCTCTGTGAATTATCTCTTCTTTGTGCCTTGGTTTCCTCATTTGTAAAATAGGGATAATAGTGCCCAGCTCATCAAATTACAAGGCTGGGTAACTAGCACTCAGGACTGCCCAGCTCATAGGAAGAACCTGATCAATATTAGTCATTGTTCTTTTTTATTTTTTAAGATTTTATTAATTTTGAGAGAGAGAGCACGAGCGAGGGGGGAAAGGCAGGGAGAGAGAGAAGCAGGCTAGCAGTCTCCATTGAGCAGGGAGCCCAAAGGACGTGGGACTGGGTCCCAGAACTTTGGGATCATGACCTGAGCCAAAGGCAGACACTTAACAGACTGAGCCACACAGGGGCCACACTTCTTATAAGGGGTGTTTGCTTCCCAGGGGGGAAAAACTTTCTCCTCTCTCAGGACTGCTTTTTGGGGGCCTTCCTTCATGGGCCACACCCTTCCACTGGCTCTGCATCCTTCCTCAAGGAGACTTTAGGAGGATCTCTCAGTCAGTTTTCACAAAGCTCCCAGCCTTGAAAGGAGGATTATGCCCCACTTCTGCAGGAGGTGGAGGGCAGAGGTGGTCAGACAGGCGGGGGGTCTCAGGGTCTCCCTCCCTGCCTTCTTAATCCTCCCAGGTGTAACCTGGTTCAAACCTCCCCACCAGCTCTGGAGGTTACTACTAGCATCTCCATCGTGGAGGAAGAAATCAGTTTGCTTGAGGCCAGAGATTAATGAAGTTGACAGTGTTGAGCGAGTATGTGTGTATGCATGTGCGCATAGGCAGGCCACAGGCCCTCCAGCTCTGCCACCTTCCCAGGCCATAGTGTGTGGTGAGCAGTAGCGTCCGGGTTCTTCACTGAAGGCAGCATCTGGGGAAGGGAGAGGAAGCCCAGGGGACCTGAGCGGGGCTGAGTCAGGCTTCGCCCAGGGCCGAGGCAGGAAGGTGCAGAAGCAGCAGCACTAGCCAGCCTGGTCCCTGGTCACATCGTTTCACACCCCACGGCCAACTGTAAGCTCTATTTTTAACATTTGTGAAAACACTGCTTCCGAGGACAGGCCGACTGCTGCATTCCCCACAAACCTGTTTCCTGGCCAGAAAGACTGAGGCCTGAAAGGACACAGCCCTGGGGACTGGACAGAAGAGGCTCAGAGCTCACAGCTGGCAGGCAGGAGGAGGGCTGGCTCGGCCCCAGGTCAGAACCTCCAGGCTAGGCCTGTGGTAATGGGTGCTTCCCCAAACTGCTGCCTAGGCCTGTCTTCTATAGAAGACAGCCTTCTAGAGGGCACGTGTAGGCCTGGGCTGGTGGTCCACACCAGGACAGGTCCCACCTCTCCCTGCCTTCTGTTTGCCCTCCTAGGAACTGGAAAGGAGGAGTATCCACCGAGTCTAACAGCTTGCCTACCCTATGTCCAGTCCCGTGTCCAGCTTGTCCTCACTGTGTACACAGCTGTGCCCACTGTGTGCCCAGTCCCGCACCAACCATATCCGTACTCTGTAGCCAGCCCTGTGCTCACTGTGTCCCTCCTGTGTCCCATCTGTAATTGCCACTTGGCTGGCCCTATGTCCACTGTGACCTAGCCCTATGCCAAGTGCTCTGCACCACCCCCACCCTCCTCAACCAGCCAAGGTGAAGTCGACACAGTGTGATAGGAGCGAGAACATTCTGACTTGAGGATTCTGAGCAAAGGCCCCACCCCCACCCTTGTCGCCCCCATAGCCACCTCTGTGGGATACTGGTTCTAGGCTTGAAGGACATGTGGCTCTGGGGAGGGGGCTCTATGAGGCACAGGCAGAGGAGAACCATCTGGAGCAGAAAGACTGCCAAGGAGCTGCTGTCCCTGGAGTGGGAGCCAGGGAACGTGGGGGAGAGGAACAGGGGCCTGAGCCAGGCCCCTCACCCTCTTCTGTCTCCCAGGACCGAGTGGTAAAGGGGCTTTGATCCCCTCAAAGGGCCTTGTGTCACATAGTTGGAACTCATCCCTGGGTAGGGGCTAAAGTCTCAAGTTGCTACATGAGAAGAGAGGAGAAGGAATCAAGTCTGGCATCTGACATAGACCAGAAATCCAGGTTTCCCCAGTCTACTTTTCTCCCTTCCCCTTGGCCTTCCACTGCCGCGCCCAGCCCCTGCCACAACGGGCACCACCCTCCTCTGGCTAGCTGGCCTGGGGAGAGAGTAGTCAGTCACCTGGCCCGTAAGGGTAGAGGAAGCTGACTTCACCAGGATTCCCAGGCCTTTCTGTCTCCCAAGGTTCTCTGGGCAGGCCCCATTCCTCAGGGGGGTGGGGTCCCTGGTTTCCCATACTCTGTCACCACCACCCCCACCCAGGTCACTGGGGGCTGTGATGTGTGAGGTTGCCATGGCAATGAAGTGGGGGCAGGGCACCTAGGGTATGGAGCAGGACTATGGAAGTCACCAAGAAGGTGGGGGACCCTGATCCATCGGGCCCCCAGGGCCACCCCTCAGCCAGCAGCCAGCAGCTGGGGGGTGGCCACAGAGGGTCCCAAGGACCATGGATAAACTCGGGATCTGTATACTTCAGGCAGGGGTTGTCATTATCCACTGAGGCCATCATTGATAGGACCTGTGACCCTGCCTCCCAGGCCCATGCCCCTGAGCCCATTCACCAGCTACACCAGGATCCTGCTGAGGTTGGCTCCCAGTGTGGCTCTGAGCGGACCTCCCAAGATGCCCCAAAACTCCCCTCTACTAGCCCATTTCCAAGCTCCATCGTGGGAACCCAAACGCATCTCATCGTGGAGAACAGGACTCTGACTTTACCCGTGGACACACGCAATGACAGCACCAGTGACTCTCTCCAGCATGGATTTTGCCGCTCTCGGCTTCGGGTGCACGTTGCAGGTGAGGGCAAGGCTCCAGCTAAAGTCCTGGTAGGCTGGGGCAAAGGCCCCTGCCACCCTGACAAGATAGCCCCCTTGGGCAGCAGGAAGAGCCGGTGGCTACCTTATTTTCTTTCAGGGGAGGATGGCTTGGCTGCAACACAAGGTCCTCTTCTGACTCCAGCCCAAGTTCAGGGCCAGGGCAAGGGCCTGTGTCCTCCCGCCCAGGCTCCTCCAACTCCAACTCAGGCAAATACTCCAGCTGGGGATACTACCCCAATGCCGGCAGCAGCTGAACCTAATACCTGCAACTCTGACCACTTGACAGACACCACTGCCACAACCCATGGCCTGTCCCAAGAGCTCCTGCTCAGGAAGTGTGGCAACCAATGGTCAGTCCTCTTGGAGTCTTCCGAAGTAGTCCCATCCTGCCAGGACAAAATGGATTTTTGTTTCCAGAAGGAGCCTCCCACCCCAACGCCCACTCCAGAGGAGTCCTCTGACCATGTCCAGGAGCTCGAGGTTGCTGGAATGCAGGTGTTACCCACCCCACCTGAGAACCCAGCGGAGAAGCCCCTGGTCTGTACCTCTAGGCCAGGCAGCCCAACACCAGGCTCAGGCCCCCCGGGTACGCCCAAGTCCCAGAGGAATAGCCAGGAGAACTGTAGCTCTCAGACAGACCAGCAGCCTCTCAATGTTTGCAACAATACCTGCTCCAGTGTGCCACCATCTGCCTACCAAGTATCCTGCCACAAGCAGTCGCCAGTCCAGTCTCCCACGGAAGCTGCACAGATTTCCCCCTCCAGTGCTCCTACCTGCCAGCTCCAGGATGCCACTGAAGATCATGTGCTGGTATTCGATATGGCCACAGGCAAAACCAGGATCGGGCTACTGTGCCATGACCCCATAGGTTCACGGGCAGTGCTGGTTGGTGTCATGCCCAGCCACTCATCCATCTATGTCCCCGAAAATGTGTTGTCCACTGCACCATTAGCCATGCCCATCCTTTCCCCTGACAACAATCGCTCCAGCTTCTGGTCCACTTCGCACATGCTCTCCAGCCCTGCACCCTCCAGCCTTTCATCTGGAAGCTACCGAGAGGTGGCCTTGGTTCCCAAAGAGGGCAGGCTCAACTTGGAGTCACGGGATACCCCTAATTCTGAGACACCCATCAGAGTGTTCACTGGGCCCATTCCACTAGGAATGCCCCTCCAGCTTGGTGAGAGGCTATTGAGCCATGTTCGTGATCCTGGCTGCTCCAAACCAGATGGTATAAAAAGTGAACCTAGTCATACTGTCTGGATGCTGGATGCCTTCAGGATGCAGCACACCTCCATGATCCAGCCCAAGAAATTTCAGTGGATGAACTCAGAGCAGACCCCAGAGCTTGCTCCAGAAGCCCAAAAGCAGGAGGTGCCCAGATCTCTGCTTCAGGAGGATAGAGGCAACCACGACCAGAAAGAGGTCCTTACTGCTCACCCTGACAGCCTTCGGGGTGAAGGTGCTGGGCAGGCCTCCCTCGGTGGTCAGTCCCTACTGGCTGAGCAGCATCCTCTTGCTGGACAGCCCTCTCTGACCAGTCAGCCTCCCTCTGCTGAGCAGTGCCCCCTCACCAGGCCCACCCATCCTTCTGGACAGCCGCTCCTGGCTGAGCAGTCCCCCTCCACCAGGCAGCTCCCCCTTCCTGGTCAGCCCCCTCTCACTGGCACCCCTCTTGCCAGGCAGCTTTCTCTCACTGGGCAGCCTCCCTTTTCTCAAGAACCCCCCATTTCCAAAGGACCCATCTCAGGAGGGCCCCCCATCATCAGGGAGCCCAGCCAGGCCTCCACCATGTGCCAAGAAGGTGAGCCCTTGGGCTTGCCGGCCCATGTGGGGGTACTTCAGATGCCCCTGGCCCCTGAGGAGACCTGTGTCTACATGAGCAGAGATAAGGTCGGTGGTGGCACCACTGAAAGCTCCAGCACACATCAGCTCTCATCCTGGCAACCGGGCAGTTCCCCCAGGACCCAGGAGGAACAGTTTTCCCTGGTCACATTCTCTACATCTGGCACTGGCTGCAAAGTCTTGCCCGTGGCCATGGTGGGCACAGAGCCCCAGGGTCCCCGCTTCAAGGTGACACCCGAGAACATCATGCACTCATCAGTAGTTGCACACCTTGGCCTGCTCCGTGGGGCCTGCTATGAACTGGTGCCCACCACAGATGCTCCGCCGATGCAGTCCCCGGTGCTCTGCCGCCACTCACTCGGTCCCTACCAGGACATGGCAGCTGTGGTGATTGACACAGGCACAGGCTTCACCAAATGTGGACTGGCCAGAGAGGACCATGTCCTCAGTGTGTTGCCTTCACGTGTCCAGTTGCTACAGCACCCAGCCCAGGACGAGCCCCGGTATGCGGTGCCTGAGAACCAAGAGGGCTCCTATCCGGTGCTGAATCGGGGAGTGGTCTCTGACTGGGATGCGCTGGAGGTGCTGTGGCAGCACCTGTTTTACTGCAGGCTGGGCGTGCGCCCGGAGGAGCTGGCTGTACTTGTGGCCGATTCGCCCATCTCTCCACGCACCAACAGAGAAAAGGTGGCGGAAATACTCTTTGAGCGTTTCCATGTGCCAGCCATGCAGACAGTGCATCAGGCCCTGCTGGCACTCTACGCTTATGGGCGCACCACTGGGTTGGTGCTGGGCAGTGGCTATGGGACCTCCTATGTGGCACCTATCCTCACTGGGGATCTGGCCCCACTTGACACCTACCGGCTGGATGTGGCCGGTGTTGACCTCACTGAATACCTGGCTCAGCTACTGTTGGCAGGTGGCTACTCACCGCCCAAGGCAGGGTTGGTCAACCAGATTAAAGAGGGCTGCTGCTACGTGGCCATGAATATGACAGCTGAGATGGCCCGCACTCGGACCCAGGCCCGAGTGGACTTTGTGCTTCCAGACAAGCAAGTCATCACTCTGGGCTCTGAGCGTTTCTGCTGCCCTGAGGCCCTCTTCCAGCCCAGTCTGCTAGGCCTCAACCAGCCTGGCCTCCCACAACTAGCTCTCTTGAGCATCAGCCGGCTGGAAGCCAAGCAGCAGGAGCAGTTGCTGGCCAACGTGGTGCTGGACGGTGGCAGCACCCTGATAAATGGCTTTCCTGAGCGCCTGAGACAGGAGCTGGGCCCCCAAGCCACTGTGCTGGGCTCTCCCCATCGTGCTGTTGCTGCTTGGCTTGGAGGCTCCATCATGGCGTCCCGGGACTCCTTCCAGAGCCTGTGGCTCAGCCGCCGTGAGTACGAGGAGGAAGGCCCTTGGGCCATCTACAAGTACCATCTGTGAGCACATAAAAGTTCTGGTTCTGCTTACTTGATCACTGTGGCATGTTTTAGACACAGAGTGTCCAGACATAGAGTCAGGGATGGGGACCCTGGCACTCCCAAGGCACACCCTGCACATTGGAACTTCCATGGGTCCTAGCAATCCTATCCTTTCCAGAGGACCCCAGAACCCCTTGGCTGGCATTGGCTCTGGTCTAACCTGACCTTTCCTGCACCCCAAGGGCAACCACAGACAGTGGCTGCTGTGGGTTTTGCCCCGTTGCCCTGGCGACAAGTGCAATTACCCTTGATTGCCAGCTCGTTGCCATGGCAATTTCAAACATAATGTAATAACCCACACATCCTGGAGTGAGTCATGAAGGGGGAGAGCCCCCTCCCCTAGCTCCAGAGGAAAAGACTGCTTGCCCTCCTCCATCTTGGGCCCCCTACGGGGGGCTAAGGACAGCAATATGGACAACACCCTAACAGTTCCAAAGATGGCTGGGGACCTGCAGCATTTGTGACCCCCATGGGAGGGTATTTGTCAAAGTTTAGGCTTCTTGGGGGAGCTAGCCTGGTAATGCAGTGGCCCCCTAAAGTCTGAACTTTGGCTAGAGCTCTATGCTTCTGTGGGCCAGTCAGAATATGAGAGTATGAGAGTTCTGGCCTTTGGTGTCCTAGGGCAGGAAGTCAGGGTCATGGGGGGCAGCAGATAAGTCCTGGATCCTGGATGGATGGTACACCTGAGCTGAGCGATGAGATCCAGCCTGCTTTGTAGGCTCTGTGGATAGGGAGGCTCACACTTTACCTTGCCTCTCTGTCTAGCTCTGGTTGGGAGCTGGAACTGTCAACTTTAGGCACCCTTCTCCTCCTCAGCCTTCCAACCTGGACTGTTCCCACTCACGGGGTGCCTAGGGCACAAGCTTCCTCAAGAGATCCTCAGAGAGACTACTGGCCAATGCCAATGCCAATGCCAATGCCAACTGCCCCGGCTCTTTGTCCAAACTCTGCCCTATGCTAAAGGACCTTCTGCTATTCCTCTGGCCAGGGGAGTGTGGCTAGAAGACATGGCCCCTGAACTGGTCTAGTTCTGAATAGTGGAGGTAGGAATAAAGTTAAACATGGGCCCAGTCCATGGCCTAGAAGAGCTGAGAGGATGGTGTCCAGCTGGTGTTGCTACTTCCCACCCAGAGGGTAGCTGAAGGTAGAAGCCAAGACACCGAAGCCCTACCCTGCCTGTGCCTCCCTCCCTGGCTGGGGGCTGAGGGACAAGCCATTCCTCAGTCCCAACCCTGGATCCGCATCTTTAGGTTGTTCTCTCCACAAAGGGCCAAGACCTGATATCCCCCAAATGCCTGAGAGTGAAGGGCTGCCCTGGGTGGGGAGACTGGCAATAGCCAATAGGGTCATCACGACCCCAGCAAGCCCTTAGCATGGCCCAGCCTCTTCCCACATCTGGCTTTTAGCCTCCACTTCAGTGAGGCCTGTGTCAGGCAGGAAGAGGATCAGTGGCTCCAGGGACCAGTGGCTCCAGGGACTGGCAACAGTGTCCATGTATATGTGCAAGCAAGCATGCCTGGGTGCACACAGAATGCAGACACACATGCCACTGGGCACCACCTCACACACTGTGCTCCTGCCATCTCCTTCAGCAGAAGCGCGCACACAGACATAGTCACACGTGTACACACACACCCTGCCACGTGCACTCACCCACAGGCACATGGAATGTGCACACGACCAAGAAGACATGGAGCACTGCCAGCAGCAAGCAGGGCTCTAGCAAACCACCTCTTCCCCTGCCTCTAAATGCCCCATTCCAGCCTCTCCTCAGCCCAGCTTCTCCATACCTAGACAGCCATGGCCTTTGGGAAAGACAGATAATGTATGTCACATGTGTAGGGTCAGCAAGCTACGGCTCAGCAGCACTATACAACTCAGAAAACCGTTGCTTCAGGGACCATGGGCAGACAACAGGAAAGTGCCAGGCCATTCATTCATTCTGCAGACATGAACTGAGTATACTGAGATAAAACCCAGCCTCTGCCTGCCAGGAGATTAGGAGATTCCTATGGTGCACGTGCGCATGTGTGTGTGTGTGTGTGTGTGTGTGTGTGTGTGTGACTGTGATCACCCAGAGCCCAGAGGGCTCAGAGGTGGCATCAGCCTGGCCTGCAAGAGGTGATCCAAAGCCAGGGAAGGATGTGAAGGGCCCCTTGACACCCTCGTCCGGAGGTAGATATTGAGGGGCCTTGTTTGAGTGGTCATTTCCCAGGTCAGCCTTCCCAGCCTCGGCTCCAGCTTCCTCACTTGAGCAGTCACTCCTGTCAGCAGCCATGGGGACCCATGCAGGGTAGACTCACTCAGCATTAAAGGGTTTGGAGATGACCCCATCCAGGACAGGGTCAGAAGGCTCACTGGGAGGTTTGGGGTGGGGTAGAATCCAGCTCCAGCTACCAAGAAGTCTGTCTGCCTTTCAGACATGGACCTCAGGATGGTTCTCAGTGCTTGTGAGGGCGGAGGGGCAAGCACTGGGGCCATGTGCCTCCCTGACAAAGGAAGGAGAAATGGCTGAGGTCTACCTTCAAGACTTCCTTTTGGCAGTTCTCAATTTCCTTCTATCAGAGGACGGGCGTGGTGGGGCACCTTTGGTGCAACAGTTCTCCTGTATTCCCATATCCCAGCCCAGGATGCTGGTGGTGATGCTTCTCATGAAGAGTTTCAGGGTGATTTTGCTGGAAAGAAAGCACAATCCACATCATGTCATAGGTGACTTTTATAGGCTGGGAAATTCAGTGCTATGCAGGGAGGAGCAGACTGGGCCAGCCACCCTGGCTGGGACTTGGGGATGAGAAAGGCTGAATTGGGGTGGGAGGGGTGCGGGGGGGATAGGAGGTTCTCCCACCATGGTCGGGAGCCCTCACTGACCACGTGCACACACTCACCCTTGTGTTTACTATTCATAACTAGGGGATGCCAGTCTGTAATGCAGCTTGCCCTAGCGACTGCCCACTTTGTTCTTGGAAGTAGTTCCGCCCTTTGGGTCAGGTTTTGGGAGCTAGGCTGAGGGCTCTGTCCCCTGGGGACTACTACCTGCCGAGAGATTCCTGTGTAGCTCTGGGGGCTCAGGCTTTCCCCACACCTCCTACTCCCAACTCCCTATCATGGGCGTAAGAAGGCCGCCCTGGCCCCTGTGCCCAGTCAGTCCGAGGGCCGGCGGCGGGCAGACCAAGGCTCTCTGAGTCGCTGCCACCAGCCGTCCGCCCCCCTCCGAGTGGGATTCTGGCTTCAGGCTCTGCCAGGGCCGGGGCGGAGCCGGCCGAGGGAGGCCCCGCCCCCAGCCCGCCCCCGGCCCGGGGTGCGAATCCGGTGCCTGTGAGCGGCGGGAGATGCTGGAGGTTTGCGAGCCAGAGCGGCTGCAGCTGGCGCCGCGTCTGCCCCGCGTGCCCGGAGCGGATTCTGCCCGCCGCCCCCGGAGCCTTCGGCGCCCCGCCGAACACGCGATCGCTTCCTCCGTGTGACCGACCGGCGCTGCAGGTGCGGGGCGGGCCGCGCGGGGGGGGTGCCCCCAAACGCACGTTGTGGGGGTCTTGGGGGATTGGGTCCCCGACTCAAGATTTGGGTCGCTCAGTGCGCGGGGGCTCCTCGAGGGCTCGGGGTCCCAGCGGGGGCAGAGCACGCCAGATCTGCAGGTCCGGGGGGCTTAAAGTTCCCGGTCACCTCGCACGGCTCGGGGGTCCCAGGGGAAGCCTCTGAGCCTCAGGTCCAGGCGAATCTCCCCCTCCCTACCCTCCCCCGCCCCCCTTCTCGCTGCGCTCCTAATTGTGAACACCTTAACCCTCGAATATTCGTGGTGCCCCATGGGGGTAGGGGCCCAGGGCTGAACCGACCCTCCAGACTCCCAGAGCCGCCTTCAGCCCCTCCCGGCTGCCCCCGGGTCCCCTTCCTCCTGCTTAGCAGTCACTAATTTCCATGACAACGGAGAGTTCTTTATGGGCGACAACCTGAAGGGGGCTGGGCGGGGCTGCCGCGGGGTGGGGGAGGAGGCTCCAAGCCCCTCGGGCCCAGCAGCCCCCTTGCCAAGGTCCTGCTTCCTTGCCTTAACAGGGGAGGCCAGCGGGGGTGGGGGGGGTTCTAGGCGCCGACCCAACGCTGCGCGGTGGGGGTAGGGACGCACATGTTTCTGCTGGGAGGTGCGGGGCTTGGTGCTCACACGTGTGCCTCCCGCATGTGTGTTGCTGTGCCAGCGGGGGCGAGTCAGCAGCGCTGGGGAAGGGGGTCAGGGTGGCACCACGGTGGGGAGCAGGGTCCCTGGCTGGGGAAGTGGAGGAGTAGACAATAGACTAATGAATTTACGCCTTCCCCAGCCTGTAGTGTCTGATAGAGACCCTTCTCTCCCAGCCCCCATGGCTCTGCCAAACTGCTTTTGTCCGCACCCCCTAGACACAGCCTGCTCCACCAGATCTCCTTCTGGGGAGGAGGGCCCTGTATCCTTCACCAAAAGCTTAGTCTGCAGCAGTCCAGCCCCTGTCCTGCTGTTGGTGCCCCCCCCCAAGGCCCAGACTTTGAGCCCCCCAGGACCACCTAGGGAGACCTGGTTCTCCCCCTCCCCCCACCCCACCCCCCAGACGAGTTTTAGCCACCTGCTGGACCTGTTTCCTCATCTGGGAAATTGGTGTCTCTACTCCCCTCCGTGTCAGGCAGAGGTCTCTTTCTGCCTTTCTTTTATAGCATTTGGTGCGGAACCCCCCACCCCACTGGGTCCCCAAGGCTGCCTTTCTCCTATTTGCAGCTGGCCCTCCTCTCCAGCTGGTGTCCTGGTGACCACTCACTAGCAGGTGGACAGTCCTTGCCCTGGGAGATGGCTGCAAAGTCCAGGATCTCCTTCTAGGGAAACCGAGGCAGGGGGTTTGTGCTGTGCAGTTGTTACCGTGTTTCTGGGTTGTTTAGGGTGCTGTTTCTGCCCCCCCTCCCCTGATCCACTGTTAGAAAGGGAGGTGGCTGCAGCAGGGAATTAGGCTG